AGCCTTTAGTGAACCGCTCAGTACAGAAAAAAACCCTCGCTGGAGTTAAGATTGCTCCAGTAATTTTTGTTTCGGGGAGTTGAATCGAATTTAAGTCTTGTTTGGTACTTTAGGTCCACTTGATGTTCATGTCTCCTCTTGGATTCAACATTACATGCTTCTTTTTCTTCTACCACATCAAAAACGCTTACAGGTTCGCTTTAAAGCTCCCTTGAGGTAGTGATGTTCCCAAAAATGAATCTTTCAGTTCCATCGTAAATACTTTGGCACGACATCGAAAGCACAACCAGATTTTCTTACATATTCAATCAACCTATCCAAATGAGGAGGCCGAAGAGAGAGACCTATGTATAGGTATGACTTAGCTCATCATGTGAAGGTGATTGCTCTCGTAATACTGTGCTGTTTCAGTGTGCTGGGAGAAACTGGGTCGCTCTCGTCGTCTTCCCTGTGGTCATCAATTCCACGATTGGTGTCTGATGTGGTGGTTGGCGCAGGACGGATCTTGTCCAACTTGTCGACTAGCAGTTTCTGCTCCATCACCGGTGAACCAACAACCTCCACCATCTCCAAGTTCAACAACTACTTTTCGGTTCGGTGGAGGGTTAGTATTTTAGTTCCTTTCATGTGCTTCTGTGGTTTTTCCTTGTTCTGTCAAATACTGCTGTCCGTCAAGCACCGCAGTCTTGTCATATATTTGAAGTGGGTTATGGGGAAGTTCAATCGATTCTTCCAATACTCCTATGTTTAGTACAAAAGAATGACCACATAACCAGTTTTGATATTCTATTCCTAATACAGTCACAGCCCCACATTGCAGATTCTCTTGCGATGGGGATTCCAGTCACTCGCGATGTGGGTAGGTCTCTAGCTGAAAAACCTTTTTGTCCTTGAATGTTTGAGAAATGAAGCTGTGGAGGAGGAGAAGGGGGGGGGGGGAGGGAGGGAGTAGGGAAGGGATGACAGGAGCCCCGATTTCACTTCGAGTTTGGCAGCGTGCTAATGTGTGCCTTGGTCGCCCAGGACCCGCAGTGTACGTTTTGGTTACATGTCCACAACATTATTCGATGCCCTATGCGCCTTCAACATGTGGCGTACCCATGTCTTTACAGTCTAGTTGGCTGCGGTCGTTCGGGCTATTCAGGAGGGGTGAGGGGCGTGGTTTGGCGCGGCATCAACCGGTTTCTCATCAAGTGGTGGTCGTCTGCCAGCTTCCGCAATCGGTAGGACGAGCTGTCGCTGCCCCAAGCCCATGGCGCGAAAAAGCAACATTTCTACAAATCTGCCCACATTGCACCTGGAATTGACCCACATTTCTACAAATCTGCCCACATCGCACCTGGAATTGACCCATCTCCCATTTACTCACGCTATGTGTCCGTAATATAC